TCACCCTGATTCAACTACTTTAAAGCTGAAATAACAAAACGTAGGCAGAAAGTTGGTTTTGCTGACTCCATTGGATTAACAGAAGAAAGTTCCCTAAACAGCAGGACAAACCCTGTTCTCTGATGTATGGTGTGCATAGACAGTTTAGCAGGGGAAGAGACCATAAACTTTGAATCCCAGCTATTTCTGGCTCCCAAAATAAGTTTGATCTGATAATCCTATGTAAATTAGATCCCTGTATTTCTTTCAGTTTATAGAGAAGACTAAGTTAATTCAAACTAGAAAACAGCAGCCTCCAGAGAGTCAGAGATGGGATCCCCTCCTTATTGTACACACAGACCTACACTGAGCTTTTGTCACATGCACAAAGCATGCCACAGATGCTCTTGCTTGACAGCATGATGTCGAATGATGGCGTAGACCAAAAGATTGATGAATGATAAAGATATACACATAATGTGTACGTATCAAAACTTCTGTTTGTTTCACGGGGGCTTGAAGTACAGTTTCAGTGACATGATTATTTTTTAAAAGCTTCCTCTGCATTATTTCACTCTTTCTGTACCAGACCATGTTAACAGCCCAGCAAGTTCTATTTTTTTCTGTGTGAATCTGATACTGTAAAGATCTAAAAGAGTTATAATGGTGTAAAGGTGAAGACCCCAGGACCCTCTGTGATACAGTAATCAATAAAACAGACTTAAAACACATGGTAAAAGAACCCCAAATCCCCCCTGTTCTTCATGTGCATGTGAAATCACGTCATCAACACTTTCACTTATCAAACCATGACAAACCTCAGGTGAATTTGTTACCTTCACCTTGTTCAGTAACTAAAGCCTCATCAATCAAGTATTTATCCCTGGGCACAACTTTAATTGCAGTATCACATGCATGAATGCTTGCATATGCATGTAGGATCTTCAGTAGCACCTAATTATTCCTACTAGAAATACCAGACATAGTCCACCATGTGAGGCATAGAAATAGATTTGAAAATGGTAGCTGAAGGAGAAAAAAATTATCACTGATTTATAAAGATTATAGTTGGCTATCACTATAACTATTCCATTTGCCAACCTGCATCCCATTCAGTTATGGGTACCCATTTGGCACTTTCATTTGGCCTGTTTATAAATTCATCAAAATGTCCTTACTTAATATTGATTTTTATTTTTTTTTTTAGCATAGCTTTGGAAACAAGGCTTCTGTATTCACTGTGTTGTTCATCTGCCTGTGTGCCCACAACCTGTAGTAATTTTTGATCATTTAACCATTTTTAACTTTGTCTGGGTTAAAAGGCTCAAAGACTACTAGCTTTCTATAGCTTTTGTGGAAACAGGCTCCCTGGTGTCAAGAGAGACAGCTTGTTTAAAAGGTTGAGGAAAAAAAGCCTCAATGTGAACTCAGGTTTTAGTAGACATCAAATAATACACAAAGGAGAGAAGAAACTCAGGGAGCATACAAACCTTCTTAGGTACACAAGCTTCATTTGTGCTTACAGAAGTCCTCGGAGTTAGCATTTTGTTCAGAATTTATTGTTAAAATACTTTATTAAAGTTTACCTGCAAGTACCTTTATTAACCCAACAGTTGTAGGAATGAAGTCAGGTTTCTTCAGGAGACCTGTTTTCCATAAAATTATGTTGCTGGTTGCAGCTTCAAGTCTGATAATTCTTTATCAAATTACTCCCATATCTGCTTTTCCATTCCTTTGCCTGAACTGGTGGCAAGCTTTAATTAATTGTATCATTTGCCTGACCTTTTTTAGCATAGTTACAGCAGTAGCTCTTTTCCAGTGTTTCAGAATTTACCAGTTATTTTAAGATTTATGAAAGTATTAAAGTATTTCATCAAGAGGCTACAAAGCTGCTCAGCCAACTGGTATGAAAGTCTGAGGCACAAGCTACCCATCACTCCCAAATGCCCATCTTGGACAGGCGTCTTCTCTCTTCGTGAATTGCAGATGAATCAGAACAATGTATGTCACCCTTACAGTACAAAAAAACATCATCCCACTCATTTCAAAGAGTATTTTCTTCATCACTGGACCAAGTCTGCTAAAGAAATTTCTGTTATACATCAGATAAATATTCCCCCAAAATAATTACAAATTGTTTATGGCAGTACAATCAGTGCTGTTAAAGATGAATTTCCCCCCTCTGTCTCCAGTCTTCCAACTCCCTTATAAAATCTTCTTCCATGACACTCCAATTCCCAGAAAAGGCTCCTACCTTGATCCTTTCAAGAAACTTTTAGCAAGCTGCTCTTCACTTGCTTTATATTCTTGGCGGGTTATTCATAGTCTGCCTCTGATCCAAACTAAAAAGCTGCATTTCCTGGAAAGATATTCCAAAAGGGTCTGGTGTTTCAGGCAAGCGCTGCCAAACCTACCACAAACTCTCCAGCCCTCTCAGTCAACCTTTCGCAGGAGTGGGCTGAGCTCAAGAAAAACACATTGTTAACACTGACTAAAGAGCAATGGGTTGCCACTCAGCATGAAACTTTTGCATAGCACTAACTTGACTGTACCAATCTGAAAACATGCTCCTTGTGTTTTCTTTCACTTTAAGAGTGTGCTGCTACCATATGTGTAAGAGCACAGTCTGTTCCTGAAAGCAGCTGTTCCTTATTTTTAAATTTTTGTCCAAATTTACTCAACTAATGCTAGTACAGAATTAAAAGAAAGTATCCATACATAGAAAAGTGCACGGTAACTGTTTTCTGCTTGCCTTCTCCAAAGCCCAGCTCTCGCTTTTTGGTACAGAAAGAAAAGTCTGTTATGTTTTCTGTAATGGAAGAGAAAACATCAGGAGCTTGGTCATAACTATCTGTTGCTTGTAGCAACATTTTGTTTAAGGATTCTCTTATAATGTAAGTTTCTGTGACACTGGTCACCTACTGAAGTTGAACAAAAGAATAAAATACGGAGATCAGCTATTTTGTTGCATAGCCCAGCACTTACAGCATGGTCTTGAAAAAGACCCCAGAGAAAAAGCAACAACCGTCTTTTTTTTTTTTCCTGTAGGTTCTTCCTTTAGTTCCTAGGTGTGGTAAAATTGAGATCTGGAACAACAAACACTATAAATTCAACTGAGTTTACTTGTAGCATAGGAAGTACAGAACTATTCTTATTTTCTAGCTCAGCCCACAATCAGTCACAGAAATTAAAGATAGAAGAAAAAGATTTTCTTAAAAAACACATCATTACTATGACATTGCTCACACTATGCTATGTAGACATTGAATAGCACAGATTTATGAAAGGCAAGTTTCTACTGCTTATTCCTCTGCAACACTTTCTGTTTTCCAGCTGATAGTAAAAGATGTTGTGGAGAAAATTTGAAACAGTAGTTGTTGGCTGATCCAGGAAGATGAGCAAAAGATAAAACTGTTGTCAGAAGTGTAGTGTTATCTATGTATTACTAATTTCAGAGCTGTGAGCATTTGCCTTTCATTCTGGACTACCTACCACGAAAAGAGAGAAAACATAAAGACAAAATTTGCTCATTTCCCCTTTCAAGATTTTATAGACATTGTGAATTATTTGACATTTTTCTTAAACTACAGTTCCTGGAGTCCAAAGACTGCATAAATATCTTAGGTTCTATTAAAAATAAAATCCATCTAGTGTCTTTAGCATCAAAAGAAGATTGCAAACCTGCCCTAAAAGCTCTGCAAATTGAGGTAAGGGAAATAGCAAGCAAATAAACAAACAAAAAAGAATCACTGATTTGAGGTGCAATTTATATTATTTAAATTCTCCACGTTGGCAATACCTGTAAATATCTCTGTGGTGGTTTAGGCCCTGCCAAGACCGGAGACCACTTTGCCGTTGTCCCTCCCCCAACTTCGGACCGAGTAGGGCACAAACTCCGGGGTTGAAATAAGGAAAAATTAATACAACAGTGTAATAAACAATCTGAACAACAGCAACAATAGCAATAATAACAACAATAAACAGTAATAACAGTAAACAAAAGATATACAGAGAAATACCGCAGTGAACACAACCAGCCTGCAGCACATGCTTCCTGTGACCAAAGCCACAAAGGAAAGCTTCCCTCACTGCTTCGCTGCACCTGACATCAGCATGGTATGAATAACCCAGCTGGAGATCCCTTCCCCCTGCTTGGGAGAAACTTAACCCTGTACAGCTGAACCAGGATAGTTTACTTTATTGAAATTGCTTGAAAATCTACTTTTTCAGGGCTAAGAGAGCGTGGATGTGAAAAGGGTGCAGAAATGGTGGGTTTATAGCAAGTGTTTACTTGTTAAATATTTTTAATGATTTGTGTAAGAATATCGATTTTAGCTTTCATATAGGTGTTAAAGATCTACTGCAAATAAGCGTCAAACTTGCAGCTTTAATGTGTTTTTATACTGTATGAAAAATCTTCACACTGAATTAACTCCTTCATGCCTTAGAGCTGAATGGAGCTACATCCACTTGTGTGAAAGACCCCGTGCCACTGATTTGTGCGAGGACTAAAAGGAGATACAATTCACCAAGGAGTGCTGAGACTTAGCTAAAAACTGCAGAAACTTTGTTTTGTATTAAAACACGAGGCAATTTCATCTTCTTGTCTGGGGTGGCTTTCTCTAGGTGGATTTCCTAGCAAATGTTTTAACGTGGCATAGCATAGAACTGAACAGTAAAGAATTGTTACAGTTTGGAAGAGTCGTTATTTGCCTGGCTGTGCTTTGGGCACGGATGCACATGCTCTAGGTCTGAAAATAAACCGCCTTTTGGCCACACCAGCGTACCCTGCACCCCTTTGTTTTCCAAAGCCTGTGGCTTTTGCATTGCAGTCTCTTGGCACCGCCCCCCCCAGCCTATGGCTCTGGTCACACTCTGGCTTTCCTCCAGGCTGCGGCTGCTGAAATCACCCGTCCCAGGGCCCTGGACAAGGGTTTGTGTCCAGCCACATCAAGGCCCGGGTCCTCCTCGCTGCATGGCCTCATGGCCGAGAGCGCTGGCATAGAGAGGGGACGGCTAAGAGGGGCGGCCTCTGGGCGGTGGGCGGGGCTGTGCACGGGGCTCCACCCCCCATGTCACAGTGCCACCACCTGGCAACGCAGCCTTGACGGCGCCCCCGGGGGGTATCCAAGGCAGCGTCCTCTGTGTCCTGCTGCCAGAGCTGGCCTGGGGGAAGCCCGAACACATCCGAGAGGAAGACCTCGGGGAGCCAGCAGAATTACATGCAGGAAGTAAGGGAGCTCATTGATTTTTGCCCCCGAGGTCGAGCAGGCCAGGGCCGTTTGGCCCCAGAGATGGCTCCAGGTTGAGGGAGAAAGGGGCTTGGGCATCTCCTGGGATGCGTGACCAGCCTGTGGGAAGAGGAGGCAGGTCTTGCTCACATGCTCAGGGAGTTGCCGATCGCCAGTGCTGGGGTCAGGAAGGAATTTTCCCCCGGGGCAGACTGGCACTGGTCCCCGGGGTTTTTTCACCTTCCTCTGCAGCATTGAGCCTGACCACTTGTCAGGTCTCTTCTGGTCCATTTTGACAGGGTTACTGCCTGCTGCTCACGCACCACAAAGATGGCCTCTCATGCCTTGCAGCTGGGGGGAGGAAGGCTTTTTTTCCCCCAGGCTGGGCTAGCAGGTGTCCCCGGGTTTTTTTTGCCTTTCTCAGCAGGTTTTGGAAGACAGAAAGGAGCATTCTCATCAATACGTTTCCTCCTTTGGAAAATACCTCAGAGTACCAGCCACCACAACCTCTCTGCTTCTCCTCCTTCTTATTCCTTGTCATCCGCATCATCTGCACCGTCGTCTTCTGCGTCATTCTCCTCATCCTCATCTTCTTCTTTTTCATAGTCATCTGCGTCGTGTTCCGCGTCGGGTTCTGTGTCTGCACTGCCTTCTGCGTCATTTCCTGCGTTGTCTTCTGTGTCGGGTTCTGCGTCGTCTGCGCCATCTTCCGCGTCGGGTTCTGCGTCATCTGTGCCGTCATCTTCTGTGTCGTGTTCCACGTCGGGTTCTGCGTTGTCTGCGCCATCTCTGTGTCATCTGTGCCGTCTTCTGCATTGTCTGCGTCGTCTTCTGCGTCGGGTTCTGTGTCTTTTGCACCATCTTCTGCATTGTCTTCTGCGTCGGGTTCTGTGTTGTCTGCGCCGTCTCCTGTGTCGGGTTCTGCGCCATCTGCGCCGTCTCTGTGTCGTCTTCTGCGTCGGGTTCTGCTTCGTCTGTGTCGTCTCTGCGTCTTCTGCGCCATCTTCTGTGTCGGGTTCTGTGTCGTCTGCGCCGTCTTCTGGGTCATCTGCACCATCTTCTGCGTCGGGTTCTGCGTCGGATTCTGCACCGTCTTCTGCGTCATCTGCGCCATCTTCCGCGTCGGGTTCTGCATCGTCTCCTGCGTCATCTGCGCCATCTTCCGTGTCGGGTTCTGCATCGTCTGCGCCGTCTCCTGCGTCAGGTTCTGTGTCGTCTGCGTCGTCTCTGCTTCTTCTGCGCCGTCTTCTACGTCGGGTTCTGCGTCATCTGCACCATCAACTTCTGCGTCCTTCTCCTCAGCTTCATCTTCTGGTTTTCATACTCATCTGCATAGTCTTCCGCATCAGGTTCTGCGTCGTTTGCACCGTCTTCTATGCCATCTTCTGTGTCCACTTCTGCATCGTCTTCCGTGCCGCGTTCTGCGTCGTCTTCTTCGTCGTCAGTGCCATCATCTTCTGAGTCGTCATCTGCGTCATCTTCCGTGTCTGGTTCTGCACCGTCTGCGTCTTCCTACTCATCTTCTTCATCTTCTTGTCCTTTTTCATTGGCTTCCATGTTCATGTCTTCCACATCGGCTTCTGCGTCGGCTTCTTCTTGTATCATCATCACTGTCATCTTCTTCTTCATGACATTCTTCTCCTTCTTCTTCTTCGTTGTGTGTGGCTGGTCTGACCCTCATTCCTCCAGTTGTCACTCTTCAGGAAACAGGGAGTGCTGGGCCTGTATTCCTGATGCTCCTTTCTGCCGCTCTGGGACCTGCTTTTACCAGACTGCAAGGGATGGTTTTTCAAGCTAGACTGAAGAATGCATCAGCGCTCTAAAATCTAGTTTAAGGCCAGAGCAATTCCTTCCACTCAAACCCCAGGCAAAGGGCATTTTCACCCTGCTGCCAAGAAGAAAATTAGACCCCGTCGATACCCTCTTCCTCTCTATGTCCCCTTTCCCTCTGAAGAGGGAAGACATACAAAGCATAACTAGATAAATCCTAATGGCAAATTATTGGTGTCAACCACTGTCATTACGTCCCTCTCAAGGGATGACACCTCCCCAGGACTTGACCACACTCTCCTGGAGCTCTGAGGCCTCTGTGATGTCGGCCTTAACGCCGATCACGGATCAAGTGCATTGCACTGAGGACATAAGTGCAGGGTTTGAAGTCACAAGAGC